GAGAAATTATTTATTAAAACAGGCTTGTGAACAGTAGGCCATTGCACAAAACTGTCAAAGCATTGCACACTTACCATCTCTTGCGTATGACTTTGGAGATGGAGGAACTTAGTTCAAGATTTGTGATGAATCCATATGTTATGCAATGAAAGACATCAGCATGTTCTTGACTTCTAGCTTTAAGCTGGTTCACAGTCAGAACATCACTAATGGAATCCACTGAGAAATAAATGGAAGGATACAGTTATACTGTCAACACTTTACAAATAAGGTTCCACAACTACATTAAATAATAAGAAAAATACTTCTAAAGCATTTTTTAATCTTATTTAATGTTAATTTATTAAAATCAAAAGATGTATCTGTAAATATTATTTTATGAACCTGAGCTAACATGAAGTAACAATGAATAGTTGTATTTTTATTATCTAATGTTGACAAAGATTGACAAATGCTGTAACAAACTGCTCAATGTTAGTCAATATTAGTAAAGGAATAGTGCACCCCGAAATTAAAATATGATGAAAATTTACTCACCCACAGGCCATCCAAAATATTCTGTAAATGTAAGTTTGTTTCTTCATTGAAAAAGATTTGGAGAAATTTAAACTTTAAACGGTTGCTTCTGGCCAAAATATGAGTCCACAATCTATAATAACACTTCCACCCCTGATGTCCTACTACATCAAAATCCACCAAGATATTTGATTAGAGAACTGTTTTCACATGTAAACTGTATTTGATCTGTGCATATTTCTTTCCTGATTAAGGTGAGATGGTTTTTTACTTTTTTCACTGAAAAAAGCAATTTTATGGACAGACAACTCGTATCATAACCATAGGCAATAGTTTGAAGTAAAAAATGTTGGATTTGTTTCTTACAAACACAGCTTTTCGTGTCACAAGGTTACTTGTAGATTATTGTGATGTTTTTATCAGCTGCTTAAACTCTCATTCTACCGGTACCCATTCACTACAGAGGATCGACTGATGAGCAAGTGATGTAATGCCAAATTTCTCCAAATGTCTTCTGATGAAGAAACAAACTCATCTACATCTTGGATAGCCTGAGAGTGGGTAAATTTTCATTTTTGGGGTGAACTATTCCTTTAATGCATTAACTAACGTTAATAATGGGACCTTACTGTAAAATGTTGCTGTTTTACTGTGTTATACTGTATGAGCTGCACTATAAATACTGTATTGTTAATGTAGAGGTCCAGATACATCACGTGACTTACATTGCACACTGTCACCTGAGAGGATGTCTTGGTCATCCAGTCCTCCTGCTTCTAGCAGTTCCCTTATACATGTGCACAGTTGGTTGGCTTCTGCTGTATCTAAAATGTAATTGAAAAAAATTTAAGGATTTTAACGATAATTGTTAAAATATAAAATATTATAATTGTAAGTATTTAAATTGATTCTTTAATATAGCATTTCACATCACTACCAGGGTTGAGAGTAATGATTGTCTTTGAGGTCGCTGTTGCTATCATACAATTGCGAAAGCTGTCAAAGGTGATGCGAGCATCTGCAATGAACAGCACTGAGAGAAAATAAATACAATGAATTTCAACCCTTACATATTAGAAATTACCATTGAAAAATATAAACAGACAAATAAACATTATTATACCTGTTTCTCTTTGTGTCAGTGTTTGTAGCAGCCCAATAGTCTCTTTATCCCAGCTGGATGAAAAAAGTAATGAAATCACTTTAGTGTTTGGTGTGGATATTTGCTGCTGTTTTTTTAAATCATACTGAATTTAATTATACTCGCCACACAAAAGGAAATGATATCCCAGTGTCATCAAAGAGCTTTATTTCTATCCTCTGTCCTTTGCGTCCATCAGATTTTGTAAAGAATTTCTCCTCTCCGATCTAAATGATAAAATCTCAATCATTGAAAAGGATACGGTATCTTTCAGAAAAACATCTGTACTTTTGCAGGATGGGAAATATTGCCCACCAGCCACTAATGTCAGCTTGTGTTAATTTCCCTGACATCAGTGAGGAGGGCTAGCAGTATTGTTGGAATCTAACCGATTGCACAGCTGCTAGAATGTTAATAATGTGTCCATCCAGACTCTGTCCATTTGCAGTAATGTCTCCCAATGAATAGAAGTCCCTTGAGTCTTTAATTGGCATATGGAATAGTGGCAGAATCCTGGCCTCTGTTTCTAAATCTGAGCATATCCTAATGCTTGAGTGAGTCTCTGTTACCAACAGCCTGTAGGTACTGAGATAAAATATGTATTTGTATCACTTACAAACTTGCAGTATGATGGCAGAGGAATGTTTCTTAGAAGGATGTGATTTTTCATTTTATTCTTTTTTTTTACCTGGGTGTTGAAGGGCAAAATCTTTCTTCTTTCTCATAGTCTTTGGTCACAACAAGGGGATTTTCAATTACAACTAAAACAGAAGATGTTATTTTGGCTTACAGTGTAAATTCAGTGTATTAGAAGTATTTTTGTTAACAAGAGTAGGCTAATTGACTTTTGTAAATGACTAAATAACTCATTACTACTTAAAATCTCACCACAATCCCCAATCTGAAAGCGACTGCTCAGTCCTTGGATGTATGCCTCATTTCCCCATGCAGACACATTGATAAAATGTTCTGGTGAATCTTTGACGGTAAAGCTGAAAGTAAATCTTTCAGACCCAGCATCTAAAATAACAAGAAAAGACTGCATATTATATATAAAGAAAAAAAGAAAGAAAAGAAAAAACATAATGGAAATAGAATGCTGAACATCTATGTAATGGTAACCAACTTTTTCGGTCTGGAAATCCCCTTGAATCAGTTTTTCCAATTATCACTCCAACCACCTTCTGGAAAATGAAAAAGCCTTATTTATTTTTTTTAATTGTAAATATAGTCCTTACAGGCATTCTATTGGTTTTGTTAATAGTAATTTATTATCACAAACTAAGCTGAACAAACATATATTGAACATTTCACTAATTATTCATTAAAATTAAGACACCGCCATAACCTGGCACTCAAAAATGCGTCTTCTGATATTTGCCTCAAGTTCTCACCGAGTGTGTGATGTTTATGTTTAGGTCACTTATTGGCACGTAGTTTCGTATTGTATCATACATCATTTTCATCCCTCAAAGACAGTGACACAGCGGAAAAACACTCATGACGAGAAGATCATTTCACTTTTATGAAGAGCTAAACCAGCAAAGGAGAGTTATCAAAAAAAGCTAGTAACTTTAATTTCAACCTGAAGAGCTAACGCTGAGGTAAAACAGTTTCGTTGCTAATTTTACTTTATCTGTAACCTACTCCACATAAGTCATTACCAATTAATTAAACAACTTAGTATCTGTTAAGCGTAACAACCGTTAGTAATCACCGTGCGAAATCTCGTTTGCTCCCTACAAAGTCAAAGGCAGCAGATGATAAAGCAGTTCGCGGGTCTCGAGCTATGAAATGACTTACTAGCGGGCCGGCGTCATTTTGGCGGGTTTTGTGTCACTGCCAATATTAATAAATAAATAAATAAAATAACGGTAACAAACAGAATTGCATTAATTCATACTTTAATAGTGGAAAACTAAATAAAAAGACACTTTCCATGTAACAGAAACATAAATTTCAAAATATTATGTCTTTATGGCAGATACAATAATAAAGAAACAGGATTCATTCAATGACCAAAAAATTTGGTTGAACAAAATATAATATCAATAAAATAACATGCTATTTTAATGTTAAAATTATTGTATTGTTCAAAATAGTAGGGTAACATTTTACAATACTGTTCTGTCGTTAATGAATAACTAGCTACATATGAACAAATGACTAATTCACTAATAACATTCTAGTAACTACTATTAACTAACAAGAAACTCTGATTAATGATTTAGTAAGTAAGTGATTTAGTAAGTAATAGTATCTATTTTTATAATATAAATTTTTTTTCATATATCCAAGAGAACTACTAAGAGCTACTATACAGGTTCATAATTAATGTGAATTATGCATAATGTATAATTAATTCTAAAGTGAAGATCATGGTAACCCACTAGTAATGACTTAAGTAATACCAAATCCTTCTAAAGGAACTACTAATTATTTGAATCAGTATTCTAGAGGGAAAAGCATGATAACTCACTAATATTGACTGACGGCATTGTAAGCTTTTGAGATATATGTAAGGTTTTGGATAGTAATGACTCAAGTGTTACTACATCATTCTAAAGGAATTACTAATTACTTGGATCAGTATTCTAAATTGAAGATCATGGTAACCCACTAGTAATGACTCAAGTGTTACCAAATCTAGAAAAAGGAATTACTATCCAGAATCTTACAAAAACCTCAAAAGCTTACATGATTTCAGTAATTACTAGAGTTATCGTGTTATTCACTTTAGAATACTGATCCAAGTAATTAGTAATTCCTTCTGAAGAATTCGGTAATACTTGAGTCATTACTAGTGGTTTACCATGACCTTCACTTTGGAATTAATTATTCATTTAGAATTAATTATTAATAATCATACATTATGCATTATTCATATTAATGATGAACCTGTTTACAGTAGTTCTTATTAGTTCTTGGGGAGGTATGGAAAAAATAGTAGTTCCTGATTAACTAATAGTGAACTACCACATTAGATTAAGCAATATTACTTACTAATTCATTAATCAAAGTTTCTTGTTAGTAACAAGTAGTTACTAGAGTGTTAATATTGTGTTACACATGTGTTCTTGTGTAGTTATTCATTAATGACGGAACAGTATTCTAAAGTGTTACCAATAGTAGTAACCACGATAATCACTCGTGCTATAAATTGCTTTAGGAAATTACTGAAGGTTCACAATTAACATTTTAAAGGGGTCATATGATGCTTTTTTAAAGATCATTATTTTGTGTATTTGGTGTAACAGAATATGTTGACATGCTTTAATGTTCAAAAAACACATTATTTTTCAAATACTGTACATTATTGTAGGTCCTCTATGCCCCGCCTCTCTCAAACACTTCGTTTTCTACAAAGCAGTGGCTTATTGCTGGGGATCCTCTTGGCAGAGGCTCCCATGTCTTCACCATTGACGATAATGTGCATGTCGGCATACCCTTGTCCCTTAGGTACATAGACAACCCCTATCCGACTGCGACGGGCAGTGGGAGGTAGAGCATTGGTTTTGTACAGATCATCCAGGATGTGACTGAATCTCCCGGGCCGACTGCGTCCCACTAACTTGTCTCTGGGTATGCTCATGTTTTCTATATACAGGTGAGTGTCTGTGAAAAATGTTTTAGGCTTGTTTTCTGCTTCGTCACCAACATTTGGCTGTTCACCACCTTCTGCTTCTCCTCCTTCATCCTCAACGACTTTATTATGGTTTCTTGTTATTGCAAATACCCAGCTGTCTCCCATATCGACAAGATCAGGCAGAGAGTATTCTGGCACAGTATCCAGTGTTCGAGGGTCATGGGCAGTAAGTCCAATCCTTAAATGACCACACCACCCCAGTTCTTTCTCTTCAATCTCCACTAGGAAGATCTCTCCAGAGCTTAAAGGGTCTTTACTGAAGCAGATGCCATTTGCAAAACTTTCTACTCGGGTGGCCTGAGTCCTCGAGGGGTCCAGTCTCACATTTATCCCATGAACTGAATGGAATTGCATAAACTGACCCAAAACTGCTGCCATTTTGACAGTTTTCTATAAGTTAAAATAAGAGCCGTGATTTTGTAATAACTCAAGCTTAAATAAAACAAATGCACTAACGATAAAAACTAAAAACTCACTCATTCAAGAATGTTTACTGTCCTCTTCTCTGGGGATAGTCCTTGTTAAAAGCATGATCTTTTTAACAGATATCTCTACCATGGTACCATTGTGGCTTGAGGAAGTTTCTAGTTATGAAGGGCTGACTATTTTTGACCTCCTGCATGTGTCATCGGTGGTTTTAAATAGCTGACCAGATATGGTGAGTGAAGAATAATGACTGGGAGGAGTTTTAGCCTTCAGATCAGAACTGCTCATTGACAACACACTATCCACTGTTTCTTAGAGATCAGGGTGTTTATAAAAAAAAAAATACTGAATTAAATTCAATTCAAGTTTATTTGTATAGCGCTTTTCACGATACAAATCGTTGCAAAGCAACTTTACAGCAAATTAAGTTTCTACAATATTTAGTGGTAGCTTATCAGTGGTGACTGTCAGTTAATGTACATATGGCAGAAATGTACGGAAAAATCAATTAAAGACGTAATCAAACAGACGATGAACACTATTAACAACAATTATTATATGATGCAATCAAACATATAGCAAAATGTGGTAGTTCTGTAAGTTGTTTCAGGGTTGGCATCATCTGAGCTCCTCTGAGGGGTTGGCATCATCTCTTCTCAGCTGTTCGGTTATCTCAGATCTTCGTAAGGGTTGGATCCAGACTGAAGCTTGTGTAAACCCTAGTTACGCAAAAACAGAGAAACAAATAGAGACATAATTAGCTTAATAGGTAGCCAATGCAGAGACTGTAAAATTGGGGTAATATGAATGGTCCTTATAAGGAATCACAGAGTGACCTTGTGTTGTATATTTTTTCTAAGTAACATTTGTCTTCTCAGTCCAGAGAGATCTGTGCTAAGAGAGCTCCACAAAGCTTTATCTAGGCCAAAGTAATTGTCCTCTTTTACCCCACCTCCCTAACACAGTCTGAGACAGTGAAATATTAGTGAGGCAGGCTACATTGTGGGAATGCACATTTTTTTGTTATCAAATAAAAAATAAAATGTTTTTTTTTTTTTTTTTGCAGTTTTAATGTCAGATACATTGATCTTGTTTACATACTCAATAATATTCTGATATTAATTTGAACGTGGTCATATTATGATTATGTATCATGTAAATGCATTAACCTGATTTTTATAACCAGATACAGGAAAGAACATATCATACATATACATAATCAGAATTTTAACACATTCAGAATATCCTCCATAATTTTTATTATTACTATTATTATTTTTTATAATTTTTTTTTTTGACTTTTTAACTTTTTGTGATTTTTAACATTCTTTCAAGGGTCTACAGATGAAAAATATTTTGGCTAATTCTGGCAAATTTACAGTCATGTTCATTTATGTGCATTTCCCCTGTAAAAATAAAGTGAATATTAATTTATATTTATATTGAAGAAATTCATTTGAAGCGAAGAGAAGACTCAATTTTGAAACATTTTTAACATTGACCTAATTCTATGACTTGCATATTAAAAGGGAAAAATAAAGACATGAATAAGACCATGTTTAAGTTAAGTGTTTTATTAAATTGTTGTCCAAAATTAGTAAAATGCAGCATAATAAACTGTAACAGTGCATTTACAGTATTTCTAGACCATAGTAGCTTATTTGTTTTATGCATATTACATTACATATTCCAATAAGCATAACCAGAATATATTAATCTAATTCTGAAAGTGCTGTGCATGTAAACGTGGTCACGGTTACAAATTCAGGACAAATGTAGAGTGGTTAGGGACATCGGCATGTTTGTTGTGTCTTTATAAGCGAGTGGATGTTGGGGCAGAGTTGTTGTTGTTTTTTTAATCGGGATTAAAGTGGACTCCAGCCATGCTTCCTATAATCAGATTGAGGAGCTGCTGTTCGCAAAATCACATCTGGATGGAGCCTGTGAGGGGGAGGAGTTAGTCTCTATGGGGATACACAGCTTCACAGTAATATAACAGCGATGTACTGCATAAGTGTAGTAATAATTTAAAACTCCGGAGGATCTGCGTGCTCTAGGCTACAGTCCAGATTTACCAAGCGACACATGCACATCTGCACAGCCCTGCAGCTATAATGAACGATATAAGAGCACATCGCTCTTTAACTGTAGCTTTTATCATAAAGTCTGATGTCAAGCTGCGTGCATACTCATGATTCGTGCAAGACGTTTTAAGAAAGTGTCATCTGTCTGTTCTCTGGGAATGATTCACGGAACTGCCACTCACCGTTACTGACAGGACGCAAAAGCTGATATTTTTGGAGATCAGGCGATGGTGCAAAAATTGGGTGAGTTTATTCTTTTCTTTTTTAAATGATCTCCATACTCACAGAAAATGCCATTGCCAGTGCTTCTAAAAGTGCTGTCTCAAAATTGCTTTAATCTAGTGTCTATACGAGTATCCTATATACTGCATCAAAACTACAAAGCAATACACCTGCCTTGATGAATCACCTGCTGTGTTGCCTGTTCATTACAACAAATTCAAGTTTATCGTAATGCTCAGTATTTGTATCCATCTTGTCTCTGGGAATTATTAATGAATATAATCCATCTGAAACATTTGCTTGAGTTAAATCTAATTCATCTGACATTAAGCAGTGCTGTTAATCTGTTGAGCATTTTTTGTGTGTCAGACAGATCTGAAAGAATATAAAAGATTTTACAGTATTTTGTGTATAATGACATATTATAAACATATTTGCATGCGATTTTTCCATTTACCAATAACAAATTCTACAGAAGTTACATGTCTATTTATTGTCTATCATAGTTTAGTCCAGATGGTTGCCTTCCAGTAGGCTGTCCATCAACATGTTTTTTTTACTACCATTCATCCAAACACAGTAGCTCAAAGGAGATGATTAAAGGCCTTGTGTATCCAAGTCTGCCTAAGCTTATGTAGCGTCTGGACCACTCAAACACACAATATATATTTTGTTTTTATATTTAACAAATACTCTGTAACCCCCCCAGTTGACCCTGAGAGGTCAAGTAAATATCTACAGCGGATCTAAAATATTCATAATTAATTATAACTAGTTATGATTAATTATTCATATTTCCCATGAGCTGATTCGTTACACTTAAATTAATAATCAATAACTATTTGTAGGGAGTTTCACTGTACATCGTGTTTTACTCTGTTGTAAATCATAGCTGATAATTCAGGAGAATTTGAGAGAAATATATTTCTTTCTACTGTACCACACCAGATTATGGTTTATGCACACTGTTTTTACACTTATAGCCTATACAACACTGTTGATTGTTCAGTAGAATTATATAACACATGAAAAAGATCTGACATGCCACATAGTATAGATGTGCCCTTGAACAGTCTGTCGGTTTATTATTTCATCAGTCCATTTTGAATGAAGAAGCGATTAAAGAGAGTTTGCCAGTTGCTGGAGAATTGGTGTCACATGGGTTACATAACCACAAAAGGCAGTCTTTAACTTACTTTAAAATGCCTTACTTGACCTAGAAAGATAGTAGGAGATCTTTGCTTTTAATTCAGTCAGTTGACTGAACTAGAAAGTCCCATTTGCTCCTGACTAAGAGATATATAGCTTAGTCCCTCATTATGGTTCCCTTGATGTACTAAGTAGTATTTTATAATGCTGCAGTCTATAGGGAAACTAAATTAAATTAATGGGCATAACAAAATTAATATTAGTTCTGTTAATGGTCTTGTTTGTGTATCGTGTATTTAAGTGTTACATAACCTCTAGTAGCCCTAGAAATGATCAATGAGTGAGAAACATTATCATTATCCTGAAAATGCCCTTTGGCTTGTTTCTTCTTTTTTTATTGAGCGCAGAAAGAAGACAATAAATCTTATGGGCAAAGTGTATTTTCATCACTTGAGGGACCAAAATACATACTGAAATGTAACAACAGAGAATATGCATATGTTCAGCATAATTACTTTGCCTTTTATACAAAGAGGATATTATCAGGCACAAAGTGCATGAACTTTCTTAAATTTTTCTTAAATCGTTATATAACAACATAGTGTCTATTTTTTTCAGAGTATGTAGATCTGCCAACCCCTACTTATGCATTATATAATTTTTTATAGACTCTAGATATTATTCTAGATATTATCACCTGTAAAGCTTTTTACTCAAAGGCCCCTCATTGTCCAACTGGATATTTGAAGGCCTTCATAGGCTGAGATATTTAGGTTAAGATATTTTATGGTGTTTGTTTTCAAACTTTTTTATTAACAGAAACCGTAACACTTTAAATAAATGAATTAAACATGATTTATTTTGTGATTCCAGAAGTTTCAGGTCCTTGTAGAGAACCACTGCTGTAGAGGGAGAAAAGTTCCTTTGTTGAGGCACAAAACTGATCCAGCCAATGTTTTGTCCAAAATGAGCATTGCCAATGAAAGGATCTTCCTTATTATCGTAATACTCTGTAATGCTCTAAAAACTGCTGATGGAAGCTGACGCAATATGACTGTGTTGTCCATATATCTGGAGGCAAAATAGTTTCATTGGAAATGTTTTTTTTTTTTTTTGCTGACTCAAATATTTTTACTTGTGCTCTGTAGAGATAAATCATGGCAGGGACGACAGGAAATGAAGGAGCCCACAAATTGGCCAGAGGGACCCAGAGGCCAGGTTTACAGCTGCAGCAGGACACGGACCAGAGAGGCATAGTGATCCAACTGACGGACACCGAGGGTGAATGGGATAATCTTGATGACAGTGAACTTATATTCACCTTGGATTGTGATGGCAAAAATTCACTTACCTCCCTCCGGAACCGAAGACCATGTTCCGTCGACATTCAGACAGAGGGGGAATGGGGTCTCAGCTCACCTGCATTCAACGTTCCTCTCTCTCCATCTTCACCAGGCTCCTTGGAAAACTCTTTTACCCCGGGGTCTGGCTTCCTCTCACCCACTCACCGGCCTCTGGCCAGCTTAGTGAAGTCATTATCTACAGAACTGGAACTAAAAGAGACTTCTTTAAAGTCCAAACCATTCCTCAGCCTTGTGAAGTCGATTTCCACCGAGCTTTCTCGCAGTGAGCCGGAGGTGTCTCAATCCAGGTCTGATTCCAAGCTCAATTTGCACTTGTTGTCACAATTTACCCAGCCCAAAAGCCGCAA